GGTAACGCTGCCCTCTCATTCATTGATCTGCTAACCGCTATGTTATGCTCACGTGTTCTGATAATAATAGCTTTCTAGGACTAAACATTATTTGGATAATTGTTAAAAAAAAAAAAAACCAAATCTCTTAATAGCCCTACTGTTAGACTTGAAAAACTAAAAAGCAATTTATTTCATTTGTAGGCCTGTCGTTATTTTTTATTTGTGCTATCATTATTGATTTCTTTATTTGTTCTTATTTTATTACTGACTGTTTACTTGTCATTTTTTATTCAATTCAAAGTTTGAAATCAAGCTATCTCGTGCTACTGCAACAAAATTACCCCACTGTAAAATTAAAAAAACACTGAGTGAGCAAAAATTTGTGAGATAGTTTAAGTTATAATGGTAATTAAACAATGTTTACATATGAATAAAAGCCTACATTAAAATCTGTCATATAAATTGGTCTCCTCATTAGAAATTAGCCTACTGATTGCCTCCATGGACAAAAAATATCTGACACACATATATATGACACATTCTGCAGTTCTTCCCTGCTGTACCGAATTTCGATACTTTTCAAAGTATCATATCGAAGTTAGAAATTCAAATATTGTGACAAAATTTATTTTGTAGGGTGCCACAAGTTTGTTAAAATTTCCAAAGGGTGCCGCGACTAAAAAAAGGTTGGGAAACACTGCTCTAGAGTACTGCGTCTGGCACTGAGAGTGCTTATGAATATGGATGAGTGCCTGTATGTTCAAATCTTTACTTCCAGTGTGTGTGAGAATGTGAGGGATGAACTTGAAGGCTGAGGGTGTTTAACTGCTCCAATGCAGTCACTGACCTAAGGTCACACACAGATCTGAGAGACAAAGAAACATATCTGAAAAAATAACTGTGAGCACAGTTCACCACAGTAAACTAGAAAATGACATAAATTGAGCTGTTGTTTAATATGCTTGTATGTAGGCTATGAAATGTATGAATGGCAGTAGCAGCAGCTTGTAGTAACAAGATCTTTTGTATGAAAAAATAAATATGCTGATTTAATAATACTTGAGGAAGTGCTGATGGAGCCTTTTGAAAGTTAGGAATGTTGGGGGCGTGGACAGAGCTATGTCATTTAAAAATCAAGTGGAAATACAATGAATTGAGTTTCTATTTATTTATAGCGTTTATTTATATAGCATTTTACAAAGCATCTTTGAAGAATAATATTGCAGTAATGAGGACTTAAATAACATTTAAAGATATAAAGAAGATATTTTGAAGAATTTTGGTAACCAAACAGTTGCTGGTCCCCAATGATAATATATTTTTTTTTTCCATGAAGGTCAATGGGGACCAGCAACTGTTTGGTTATTTACATTCTTCGAAACATATTCTTTTGTGTTCAGCAGAAGAAAGAAATTCATACAGGTTTGGAACAACTTGGGGTAAGTAAATGATGACAATTTTCATTTTTGAGTGAACTTTCAATTTTTCATTTTGGGTATTTGTCTGTAAACCCCAAGTGAGCAAATCGAAGGCGACTGTGGCAAGGATTCAAAATGAATCAAGCAATTAATATGTGGACTGTGCAGACACACTCTTTTATTGGTGTTAGTGAACTGCCAACTGGGCAAATTCTGAAGTACACGGAATGAATCTTTGACATATTTTGATTAAATGCGCCACTCTTAAAAATGGAGTTAAGCACTCAAATTACATAAAGTTATAAAATTAAATGAATTTAACCTTAAAAAAAAACTGGAAGTGGATGTGTTGGAACATTTTATTGTTGCAACATCAGTGAGGATTGCTTGGCTCATGGTCATTCCACTTTGAATTGTGCTCTAAACTGCAGAAATCTTGTTCTGAGTGCAAAAAAAACATTTTCACCTGAATAACGATAACTACGTGACGTGCATGTGCCTAGCAACATAGACAATGACAGACACTGCTGGACTTATTCAGTGGTCAAATGGTACATTGTCAGTTTTTGCTGTGGCCTTTTCAGAGAATTCAGAGAACATTGTAAAGTAATACATTACAATAGCAACTGTAATGTGGTCAACAAACCCAAAACTACCTGTTAACCAATCAGACTCAAAGTAAGCATCTAACTGTATTTTTGCACAATGTTTTTGGTTATGGTTCTAGTTAGAGGCTAATGTTTTGGTATTCCTCTGGTCGGTGTGCATTACAGGTATCCAATCAAAGACTGGATAGAGAGGAGGAAAACACAGAACTAAATTTATGGCTGAATTAACTCACTTCTTGCCCAGATGTTTGGCGACATCCGAGCGCCGGAAGCCTTCCAGGTGGTAGAGCCGTCTGGCCAGACGTCGGGCAGCTTCCTGGTCGCTTCGGCTGCCATTGTGGAGAACATCTGTGTCCTTAAGACACTCCACACCATCCATGTCTGAGTCCCAGTCTGACAGCATGTCATTTAGCCCTGCATCGCTGCTGCACAACACACAGAACACAGTTCATTACAGTAAGAATGGCTCACGGCAATCCAACAACCGACTAGTCAGTTAGATTAAGCAGAATGTTTTCTTTTTTTAATTTTGATATTTTTAGTGGCACTTCTTTACTTAGCAAGCTGTGCTTTAGCTGTTTGTGTACACCCTAAAACCTTCTCTGAAAAGTTCATCACTTTTAGTGTCAGCATTCAACATAAATGGCGACCGACTTTACTACCGTATTGTGATATGAAACAAAACTATCAAACAAACAAAAAAATTATGTAGGGTTGGACTTAATGTTATCCATCAGTTGTTTATTGGGATGTAAATAAAAAGCAAACATTGCATACTGGAATAGAGGCAGATCTGAATGCGATTGGCTGAACTGCAGCACATCAGTAGAGAATAGTGAACAGTGCGTTAATTAATTTGCCTAAATGATGTCCGTTCATCCATTTAATCCTGTATAAGTGACTTTTGACACCCATTTTTGCACTCTCAGTGTCCAGATAGCACCCTGGCCACACCATCAGATGCATTTCACGAGAGAAACAAAATGCAAAGCCCAAATCAACTGGCCAACATTACAGAAGACCAATGTCACCACAGGCTTCTGCCAACAGCGATAACAACCAGAACTACATCATACAACAACAAATGTAATGATCACCCGCTGTCCTCCCACATCAATGACATCATCCAAGTTCTCAGTCCAATCTGTGTTATTCTGGTTCTGGCAACATTTCAGAGCCATTAGCCACTGAAGGACAATGCAGACTAATGCTAGCTGTGTCATGAAGGACTGCATCTGAAGAATGTTATGATCCTTCAAACAGAACTTCATCTGAGATCTGAACAGAGACGTGGCACTGAGATGCAATGAAGTGGTTTATTAAAACAGACAAATGTGTTTTAATTTCTTCTCTGTGTACAGTGAGAGCATGAATTCATAGGTCTGAACAATTAAATAGCATTGCTCACTAAGGCTGGTTTCTGAAGTTGAAGAGTTTGTTTTATTTATTTACTGCATTAGGACAGTCTTCCTCAAGTCAGTTTAACAGTGCCATCTGTTGAGCGCTTGAACAAATGACAACAAACACTGAAATCTCATTTTAGGAAAAGAGAAGTTTATAATATTTTGTAGAAAATAAAACTGGGTCAGTTCTTTGGCAGGGTGGCAGTTATGCCACAGTTCATTCTGCTTCTCTACTTGGATTGGACATTAGCTGTCATTTTTCTTCACTGTTCATATCAAATATAAATGTCCCTGTGTTTCCCTAGTACAGAAACATTCCCACTGTTATGGACACCAATTGAGAAGTGAAGAAAGGTAGAGAAAATAGAGTTTAAAAAAAACTCATTTCAGTTGTCGATGATTTTAGTTTAAATCTTTATTAACTTCTATTGCAGTCTATGTCTTACCGAGTCCAGTTTGTTACTTTACTTTGAAAATACACTAATCTAAATTAACGGCACAAATAATATACCATATGCAATACAGAACAGAAACTGTTTAATTAGAAACTTCTAATTACTGAAATTTTAATTATTGAAAATACTGGGCATATCAAGATTGCATACACTTGCATCATTTTCACAAAAGAATAAAAAAAAATGAAAACAATGGCCCTTAAAAGTAGAGAATGACAGAAAATGTACAAGATTATCACTCTGCTTGCCTGTTCATGTATTACAAAAATAAATAAATATAGGGTAATATAAAATAAACCATTCGGTCACACCTCGACCTTCCACACCACACCTTCTCACTATTAACTAACTATTAATTACAACTTTTGTCTCAATAAACTCCTAATTTGCTGCTTATTAACAGTTAGTAAGGTAGTTGTGAAGTTTAGCAATGGGGTCGGATTAAGGGATCTAAAATATGGTCATGCAGAATAAGGCATTAATATGTGCTTTATAATAAACAGCCAATATGCTAGTAATATGCATGCTAAAAAGCAACTAGTTAATAGTGAGAACTGGTGAGAAGTGTTACCAACCACTCTAGTCACAATATAACTTGATCTTGTTGTTTCTTTCTTCATTTATTTATAAAGCACATTTTAAAACAACCAAGGATTGACCAAAGTGCTGTACATAGTTGTAGAAAATACACAAAAACAGTACAGTAAAAATTTAACCCAGCATACATTTTTCAATTAAATAAGATTTAAGCATTGATTTAAAAACAGACAAAGAAGGTGCTGTTCGAATGGCAACAGGGAGATTTATTCCAAAGTGTTGGCCCGGCAATAGCAAAAGCTCGGTCACCACGATGTTTCAGTCTGGACCTAGGGACGGATAACATTTTTAAATGCCCCGATCTAAGTGGTCTCGCTGATGTGTGTGAGTGCAACAACTCAGTGAGGTAGACTGGCGCAAGATTATGAAGCGATTTAAAAACCCAGATTAATATTTTAAATTCACCTCTGAATTTTACAGGCAACCACTGGAGAGAGATCAAGATAGCAGAGATGTGCTGGGATTTACGTGTTCTCGTCAAAAGCCTGGCTGCTGCGTTTTGGACCAGTTGTAAACGCTCCATGGATGAGCAGTTAATCCCATAATAAAGTGAATTACAATAGTCTAAACGGGAAATAACAAATGCATGAATTACTTTTTCGAAGTTCCTGGTTGATAACAAAGGTTTCACTTTAGCCAGGTGACGCAGATTGAAAAAACACACTTTAACTACTCCATTTATCTGTTTGTCGAGCTTTAGACCAGAATCAAGCCAAAAACCTACATTTTTTGCACATGGAGTAACCCATTGAGTTAAGGAACCAACGTTACATTTACAGGCATTAAAAGCATCACTAGGTCCAAACATAATTACTTCAGTTTTACCTTCGTTTAGAGTTAAAAAATATTTTGTAAGCCATGACTTAAGTTCCTGAATGCATGCATGCAGAGCTCCTAGTGCATTTTTATCATTTGGTTTAAAGGGGAGGTACAACTGGACATCATCTGCATATAAATGAAAATAAATTCCATATTTCTGAAAAATCAAAGCTAAAGGCAGTATATATAACATAAACAGAGTTGGAGCAAGAATGGAGCCATGAGGAACACCCACAAGACAGAGGAGCGGTGGAGGAAGTATTTTGTCCAATACGTACACAGATCTTACAGTTAGTTAAAAAAGACAGAAACCATTGAAGAGTAGTGCCTCGCAGGCCAATATAATTTTTTAAGCGCGAGATGAGTACATTGTGATCAACTAGGTCAAAGGCTGAGCTGAGATCTAGTAAGATCAAAGCAACAGCATTTCCAGAATCTGTGGTCAATAAGATGTCATTAAAAACTTTTAAAAGAGCAGATTCTGTACTAAGTAATTTCCTGAACCCAGATTGAAAAGTTAATAAATATTGTTAGAACTCAGGAAAGCTTGTAACTGAGTTAACTGTTTTTTTTTCCAGAATTTTAGACATAAAAGGTAAATTAGAGATTGGTCTAAAGTTGGACAAAATAGTATCTGAATTTGATGTCTTTAAAATTGGAGTAATTGTTGCATATTTTAAACTACCAGGAACCATTTCAGTGCTCAAACTCATGTTTATAAAGGAACATACATCTGCACAAACAGTATTTATGACTTGTTTTAGAAAACGAGCAGGCATAATAACATCATTGTTTATGGAGTGTAAAATAAAATTATGGGTGTGATTAACTGGTATGGCAGAATCAACATTCAGCTGATTCAAACAGTACTGAGAAAATAATGACAGGTCCTTCATGATATATTCTAGAAAATAAAATTATACATGGTATAAATGAAGAGAGATTTGCACAGTGCACCTTTCAATTGTGGCAAATAAATATCCGAGCGACACTTGCACAAGACTCTGAGACACATTACGGGAATGTAAACCTAATTCAGAAGAGACTTCATTTCCAGAAAATTACACGCATTTGACCACTTAGACAACAAGTGTGAACTGTTGAGAAATAGTGGTGATTGGTGAAAAATCTGGCAGTTTGGATAGATGAAGTAACATCACTGGTAAATTTTGATGTGTGAAGCTGTAGATTACTAATTTGAGTAGCTCCAGGGTCAGGACTGAAGTAAGAAGTCTGCTTTACGCAATTAATAAACGCTCTGGCAGAGATGAAGGAATTACTCCATACTGCTGCAGAAACTAGAAAGCCAAAAAAAAACGTCAAATTGAACAGATAATGAAACAAACAAATTACAGCCTTCAAGTGTTTCTCAATGAAGTAAACATCCAGATTTAGATGTAATTTTTCAAGTAAACAGTCATAAAGAAACACAAAGAAATACATTTAAAACAAAGTGTGTGCTTTACTTTTTTCTTTAGTTAGTGTTGTTGTTTGATAAATATGCATGTAATAGTAAACAACAGCATGTCTATTTAATCCGAAAAAAAATTTCAGATTAAATAATCTGAAATATGCCGAGCAGTGGATCGCGAGGACTGGAATTGAGAACCACTGTATTAGGCAATAATAATCTAATTAACAATATTTGTATTTCAATGTTTCTTTTTATTTTTAAAGTTTTTTTTTCAAAGTTTCTTGCCACACTTATTCAAAGTGCACCTCACTGTAACAGTACAGATATTTATTTTATCTTTTTTTTTAAATAACAAAATGTGAAATGCTTTTTATACATATAGGTAGTGCTGGGTGGTATACCGGTTCATACCAAATACTGGTGTTTATTTTTGTTATGATATGAATTTTTAAAATACCGCAATACCGGTGTATGTCACTTAAACAACGTTCGGAACGCGACACTGTTTGAAAGGGGTCCCTTTTCACTGTTGCACTGTGGTGAGGGAACAGCTGTATGTGTTCCTAAGTGTGAAAGTTCCGAAACTGAAGCTGTAGAACTAATAGAATGTGATGATGACACAGAAGAACTCACGAGCGTGACTTTAGCACTAGATTTAGCAACCTTCGGACCCTTTTAGCGGCTTTTTTCCATAGAATATTCATACTGACAAACCTAGCGACTTTTTTGGATAAACC